CCGGCATCAAATAGCACTTTGAATGTCAAAATAATGCGGAAAATTTTTGATGAGACAATTTGAATGAAACTGCAAGCTGTCGGATCTCCTGTCAGGTCAGTTTATTTGAGAGTTCCATAGAGGCACTTCAAATAAGGTAGAATCTTCATAAGATTACTTATGACGACAGTGCAGACCCAGCTATCGTGTCCCCCGACTCGCAGGCGTACTTGGTCTTGCGGAGGTAAGCGCCACCTCACCCATCGAATCCCATCCCATCCACCTTATGCAACTTTTTGATACGTAATCGAAGTTGAACTTCTCCAGGTGACACTCAAGCCTAATATCGTTCTTTTGCCCTAATATCTAGGTATTATATAACATTCTGTAATGGATAAAACTCAATCGTCGCAGTAAATCTTGAAGGAATCAATATTAAACGCATCATAGTTAACCCATTTTACATGCAAGTAATTGCGCTAGCTTCTCTCATTGTCCTTTCCGCAGTTTTGACGTCACTGTAACGTCACCAGCACGCACACGCTCGCGGTAGCGACGCCGATAAGCTTTTTTCTCCCCCTTCCCCCTCCGAACCGCGCCCGGCCTCCGTAGCGCTTTCGATCGCGATCGTGGCGTATGCGCCAACCGTCGGTGCATAGTCCGCTTCCGACCATTAGAAAAGGTGTTCAAAATCTCACACACGACAAATGAGATTTCAAAAAGATATCAAGCTTTAAAACAACCTTATGTGGGTTTCAATGACGGCTAGGGCAGAGCCATTGGAGTGCTACGTATGGGACGGGCACGTATTGGACTACGGGCTACCGCCCGCAACCCCGACCCTTTCCTGGGTTGGGAACCCATGACGTTTCAGCAGCGGAGCCCATGCTTATGGAAAATGGAATGGTTCCGGGAAGGGCTACGTGTACCCTGAAAAGGGTACGGGCTCTCAACTACCTTTATATGTCGTACTGGATTAGGAAGACAACCGCTTTTGGACGCGACACATTTGCTTCACTGCAGGTGTGGGAATGCGCCTCTAATCACTCCCAGCTCGTTGATCAAATTGTTATGCATGCAGATAGCCCACGAAGAAACACCATCATCATTTATGCAAGATTTCCAGAACCTCCAACATTACTGCACGTAAAATAATCGTTGATCCTTCATATGTACAGTGGTCAGAGCGAAGGAAACAACTTTGAATATTCCTAGCCAAAAATTGTTTTTTATGTGCATGTGCCTGGGAGGTAGTCGATAAAGAGAAACCCGTCCACTTCACTCACCATGTTCGCTCACAGCACTTTTCTTTTCCTTTTTAGACTTTTGTTAAGGTAGCTATCATGCATTGAGCACAACAGCTAGAATTTACCTGCATGCCCTCCTTGCCGACTATTCCAATGCCCACGTGGGCTGCTTGTATCATCGGCACATCATTGGCGCCATCTCCGATTGTGAGCACTCTTCCCTGGAAGCAATGCAATTTTTTGTGATTCACCTCTTGACCGCTAAACGGTACAGTGTGTGTGACGTCCGTTCTGCAAAAGGTTGCCCAATTCCTTCAGCCCTGAAGAGAGCAGGGACTGAAACTGTAAGCACTTGTGATACTTCGATTTCGGCCATGTAGTGCCGCTGCCATGCTCTGCGAATAGTGCGACTTGGTCCGATTCGCAGGGCACGAGCGATGCGCCAACTATCCGGCAGTGACTCATCAACTGGGGGCTATACGTCGCGTTGCGCATGGGGCATTTGGGTATTCTGTGCGACGTCGTGACTAAATTTGCGCGAGCATGCGCTCGGGGGGGGCATTTCGCGAAGTCTGAACTCTGAACCAGTTGAAGGCGGGTTCACGATGAAAGGTAAACTAGGTTAGAAATAGTCACTATAGCGAAGGTGAAGAAAAACTGTGAAGAACGGCCGACGACCAGAGAGGTGCGACCCTTTTTTGCCGGTTGATTTCCGAATTGAGCGACCATCTGTGTGCCTTTTGGCCAACACTTTTTGCATTGATTCAATCACTCAAAATGCGCAAGATTGTTCGTGCAGAAACGATATTTAGATTCAAACATTACTAGTAGAAGGAGAAGAATGTCACCTTCAGATGTGTCTTGACACACTTCACCATCTCAGCCTTTTCTGACGGTGTCATACGGTAGCACAAGACTGACTTTGCCCTCAAAACAGACTATAAGGTAATACTGACATGGTGAAGGAATTCGAAACGTATGTGAAAACCAGAGAGTCAATTCGATGGAAGACTTTGACCGAACTCACCTTCGCAAGTGGGCCAGCAATTCCTCGTCGCCGCGCTTTGCCAGACGAGTTGCTTCAGGAGAAAGCACCAAGATTATAATACCTAAATAATGCATTCCGATGAATGAATTACGGTACTCGTCTCGCTATAAGATCTCGGTCGCTATAAGAACTCAAAATTTTCGGTAGAATCGTGGCGATTTCGCATTCTTCCGTTTCTTTGTAACGATTCGGTTCGAATAAAGATTTTTTGTAAATCTGAAGATACTGTTGAATTTGGTGAATGGGATCTGTGACAAGGTCTATTGTAGTCTCGAAAGAGCTCCATATTGGAATGCGCCATGCACTCTACTTTATCCCGAAAAATTGTTTGCGTTGATGCGTACATAATTGTACTTATGCAACCTGACCATACTATAGAAAGAAAGTTAAATTCTCAACAGCTGCCAGCAAATGCTCACATACTCGGCTTGATCAACTGTATAGAAAGATTAGTTGAATGTTTTGTTGGACTTCAAGATCTCTGTTCCATTTTGAGGTGCTAAATCACTAGGCGTGTCCCGTCGTGAATTAGGGTTACTCGGGCAGGACTCACATGACATATTTGGTTGCAAAGGAGCGCTTCTTCAACGCTTTGGCTTTGAGCTTTACTCCGCGTCATGCCCAGTGAAGGAATCAACTTATTAGGTTCCTTAGACAAACTTACAAACCTGAGGTGGATATTGACCGATTTTCCATGAAAAACAGCCAACTAAAGTACGCAACACAGTTTGCGATCAAGCCTCTTTTTTACCGTTTCACACTTTTTACTGTCGATCGACTTCTCTAGCGTTAGACTGCCACATGCGATTCAAATGTGCGATGCGTGAAGCCGTCCCCACGCTCACGCTTCGAGCCGACAGGGTGCCGTCGTGGTTGGCGGGCGTTCGACCGATATTCCGCTATGGCCGCTCCATGAGCACAGCAAGGGCCTCAGCGACAGTGTTACCGCAACCAGTCAGCGTAAGCTCAAGTCAATTTGGGCTTGCACCATACAGTGCTGCACACTGGCAACCAGGGTGAATATCGGTCGAGGAAATCCTCGACAGGGGGTCGTACCTGTCAGGGTGGGTCATGGGGGGTCGTACTCGTGGGGGTCAGTAACAGTCAGTGGCATCGTGGTGCAGATAGGAGGGATAGACGAACCGCGCAGGCTGCGTGAATGTTTTGCTGAACATCAATGGAACACGCTTATTCACATCAAATCAAAGTGAG